CACTGGCCATCAGCCGAGCCCAGGGCTTCAGGAACCTGGACTGCAGTGGCAGAGACGCCTGCATTCTCCACCATCAGAGTGCAAGCCGCTGCAGAGGATGCTAGGAGGGACACAGAGCACCCTGTCCAGATGATTAATCTCTCCGCGGAGGCCACTCCCACTCTTGGGCTTTGCAGTTGGTTTCCTGTTACTAAGACGTGAAGCTGTGCCGAAGGGCTCCAGATCCACTTGGCCTTCTGCTGCCCTGGCTTGCTCTATGTCTTCTGTCAATCCCATGCTGCTAGACTCAGCTGGGCTCCAGAAAGGAAACCCACGAAGCAAGACAGGAAATCAAGGAAAGCCTGCAAACCTAGAACCAAATGCTTCCACAGCGGGCAGCAGGGGGTGTCGGGGCACTGAAGAGCCTTTAAATCACATTGTAGGTTCAAAGTAGAGACTTTGAGACACTATGAGAGATGCTGCTTAAAAGACTGCCACTGCTTCGAATCCAGTCCCTGCCACTGACACCCCAGACATGGTTGATTCCAGGAGCCTGGCTTCAGGCTAACCCCGTCCCAGCAGTTGCAGGTATTTGAAGGAGTGAACCAGTGAACTAGACATTTGTCTCTCTACCTTTCAAATAAAAATTAACTTTAAAAAACTCTTACCATACATTGAGAACAAGTAACCTCTCCTATAGGCCTGGTGCAATGGCTCAGTGGTTAAATCCTTGCCTTGTAAGCATCAGAATTCCATACAGGCACAGTTTGTGTCCCAGGTGCTCCACTTCCCATCCAGCTGCCTACTTGTGGCCTGGGAAAGCAGTAGAGGATGGTCCCAAATCTTGGGACTCTGCACTGCATGGGAGACCTGGAAGAGACCAAGGATTCCAGAATTCAAATCCTGATCCCATCCCTTGCCACATCTCCCCGGCAAGTGACATGATCTCTGCACCTTATTTGTTTCTTCTGTAAAGGGTGAAGAATGGGGCCATGTGCAGCAGTCTAGTAGCTAAACTCCTCCCCTCGTGTGTGTCAGGATCCCATGTGAGCACCAGTTTTTGTCCCGGCTGCTCCACTTCCCATCCAGCTCCCTGCTTGTGGCTTGGGAAAACAGTAGAGGATGGGACCCTGCACCTACATGGGAGACTCCTGGCTCCTGGCTTGGGATTGGCTCAGCTCTCTAGCTGATGCAGCCACTTTTTGGGGAGTGAACCAGCAGACAGAAGATCTTTCTCTCCGTATTGCTTTCTCTTTGTGTATCTGTCTTTCAATAAAAATAACAAATCTTTTTAAAAAGGAGAAGAGTGATACTGAACCCATTCTATTGGTCTGTGGGAGGATCCAATGCACAGGTCCAGGAAAATTCCTCAGGACAATGACTGGTAACTGGTCAGAGCTCCCTGCGAGCTGTTATGAAATCAGTAGTGGACCTGAAGGCTAAGCAATTCTAGTTCAGAAGCTTTCAGGTATAAGCAGGAAGATGATATTCAGGAGCTGTTTTTGTCATCCCTAAAATCAAGTCTGTGCGTGTACATCAACATCTTGTCACCTGAGCATTGTGCTGCCACTCCCTCTCTTCCACAGACTCCTGTGAGAATATGAGCTGAGGATCGCTGGGGCCAGCAGAGCTTGGCACCTGAGGGAACAAAGGCCATGCCCCCTTTTGTCACCAGCCTCTGCCAGCTACCCACAGACAATCCCCGCACACACCCAAGCTAAAGCCCTTCTCATCTGATCTCAGTAACACATGATCCCCAGACCCTGGAGAACACGTGCAGCTGTGAGCCCGCCCGATCCCCCAGAAAAGCTCATTCACGTGGTACTGGGGTCAGATCACAGGATACATATTTCACGAACAGCCTGTGAGGTTCACAAAAATGTACTCAAGGGGTCTCCAGGGCTGGTCCAAGACCTGCCCAAAGCCAGTGTCTGCGGTAACAGTCCCAGCCCTCAGCAACACGGGGAAAACAAGAACACAATGAGTCGTCCTGAAGTCTATTACTCAACTGTCAGGCTGTGGGATTGGTCCCATCTCCTTTCTCGTGTACACATGATGTCAAAATTCTACTCTGTTTTTTTTTAATATTTTATTAATTTCTATTAGAAAGTCAGATATACAGAGAAGAGGAGATACAGAGAAGACGACCCTCTGTCTGCCAATTCACTCCCCAAGCAGCCACAACGGCTGGAACCGAGCCAATCCGAAGCCAGGAGCCTCTGTCAGGTCTCCGTGTGAGTGCAGCGTCCCAAGGCTTCAGGCTGTCCTTGACTGCTTTCCCAGGCCACAAGCAGGGAGCTGGATGGGAAGCATGGCAGCCGGGACATGAACCAGTGCCCATATGCGATTGTGGCACATGCAAGGTGAGGACTTTAGCCGCTAGGCCATGTCACTGGACCCCCCAACTTCATTCTTCATAGTATCCTGTGTAGGACTGATAACTCAACTCCTCACACACACAGGGCATGCAGCAGCCAGATGAAGCGGCTGGGTGGGCGGAAATGGGCTTAAAGACCCAGCTTTTCAAGACAGGAGAAAGAAAACTCCTTTGCAATCCCCAAGTATGGCATTTGAGGGACCATGTCGCCCCCTGCTGGTAGTGGGGGGGTGAGTCTTGAACTGCAAACGGTATGGGGGAGGACTGAACTGACTACAGCCCTACAAACAAGGGCAAGTGTTACAGCCCACACTCTATCACAGGGACCCCAACCAAACCAAGAATTCAAGAGTAAACATTACAGATCTGTCAGTACACATTGGCTGCTACATCCTAGAAAACCAAAGGAAGAAAAAGTTACCTTTACAGAAATAATTCCCATTTTTCTACAAATTGTTTATTCAGATATTTAATTATGTAGAATCACAGTGAAACTAACATGAAAATTATGCCCATTAGTAAACTGACCTGACTTGGCTCCACAGCTTACTTGTCTCTGACATTCTTGTCATTCATACAGCGTAGCTGTCTGTTCAAGGCACAGAATTCCAGGAAGCTTGATTCATCCGGCCCTTTGGGAGGCCAGGGCTGCCTCTCACGCTCTTGCTAAGGCCCTTGGCTCTTTTTGTCTAGTATGCCACATATCACTTCCATTGGGATAAATCTACTTGAAAAACTATTTAATATGGAAAACTCCTCTACCAGCCAGATCACTTCCCAAATGGCCTTAAGGCATGGATCCGTGCCCTGGAAGTCCTCAATCCAGCTCTCCCACCGAGACCCAGCCTGCCCTCTTCCGGGCTCTGCCCTGGCAAAAGGAGCTGCAATTAGGAATGAAGCTTGGGATCCAACTCAGACCCCTGACAAGGAACCTGGACACCTGACCGTTGCACCAGAACTCATCCTGCTTGTCCACAGGGGCCCAAGCACTTCTAACTTGTCCTTGCCCCTCCTTCCACTCTCCCCTCCCATAGTATTTTATTCAGAATCTCCTGGCACTGATCACATCCTATCATATTGAATAGTACAATATATCTGATTTCCGGTATCAGATCTTAAGTTACTTGATGACAACGACTCATACTCTGTCTCAGGAAGGAGATAACATGCTTTCACAATTAACAACCCCAGCCTGGCAGCTGTGTCATCACAGGCACAAACTTTAACTCCCTCATCTGAACTACACTCTGGGAAAGACAGGAGCACCTATGTCACCAATTCGTGGAGCTTTATTTAGAGAAAGCATTTAATGTGCCCACTTCCAATTAGAATTCACTTCTTTTTTTTCTTATTGGAAAGGCAGATCTACAGAGAAAAGATCTTCCATCTGCTGACTCCCCAAGTGGTCACAACAGCCAGAGTTGAGCCGATTTGAGGCCCGGAGCTTATTTCAGGACTCCCACAAGGGTGCAGGGTCCCAAGGCTTTTCCAGGCCACAAGCAGGGAGCTGGATGGGATTTAGAATTAGAATTTAGCTACTAGGCTATTGCTCCGGGCCCAGATTCAACTTTTTCACTCCCTCCATCCTCCGACCTAAAGCCTCGCTGGTAGTATAGGCTTCCAATTACTTGTTGGTAGAGCTGCTGGACCCTCACTAACACATCAGCATCATTTGTCCCAGCATCAGCCAGCCCTTAACCTATGACCCAGCAGCCGTGGATTACCAATAAAGGTAGTAGACTCCCCCCCAGATGAGCAATTAGCCAGTGTAACTTTCTGCCATGCAGTGAATGTACTAGAGTCTGGGTTACTGAGCACCTGACAGGCGGCTGGTGCTGAGAAATGGGGCATTTTCATTTTAATCAGTTTGAGGGACCTGGCGCCACCTCGTCCCACATCCTCCCTTCACCCACCAAGGGCTTCTTAGTGACCTTCGCTGACTCATCGGAACTCCCAGTGACCCCAGACCCTTTCATTTGGCTGTTACTCGTGTGTCCACTCCATGTCACCAGGAGCTGACTAGAAACACTGCATCCTCCGGAAACCCCAACACGGGACAAGATCAATCAGAAATCGAACGAACTTTTTCTCCCTCCCTGGGCCTACGCTTCGTGGAGCACGATCACAAAACTAACCCTGCAACAGGCGTGGCCAAAACGTGACCAGCACTCGGGGAGGTGGGGACCGCCCCATGCCTGCACGCGGCTGCCAGCCTGCCGCTCACAGATGCTGTCAGCAGGCGCCGTGGCCTGGTCCCCAGCCGTACAGAGCGACCAGGCTGTGCATTCTACAGGAGCAAGAGCCCCTGGCTTCTCCTAGAGAATCAGGCTTCCCGCCGTATAGGCTCCAAGCCGGCCTACCCCAAGCTGCTCCAAACCCCGCACCACATTGACATCCACGCCTGCTGAAAGCCGCCGTACAAAATGGCGGCCGGCCGCGGGGAGCCAACCATAGAGACGTCCGCGCGCCGCACAGACAGCGCACTCCTCCCAACGACTTCGCTGGCCGCGCTTTCCGGCGCCAGTGGGAAGCGAGTCCGACTCGAAGGGTCCTTCTAGGAGGGCGGCGCGCCGTCTCTATGGTGCCAGGTCGTCCCAGGCTGGGTCACGTGGCTGGCGAAGGCCGTCGCGAAGGCGGAGGGAGGAGAAAAGGGCGGGTGGCTGAGGGGATAGCCGGCGACCACGGGGTTGTCATGGAGCCGTGGGGCCGGGTTCGCGCATGCGCCAGCTCCCCCGCGGGGCCGGTCTTGGAGCGGCGACCCTGGCCCTAGGTGAGAAAGGGAGGGTTGGGCCCAGGGGGCGGAAGGCGGGGGGATGACGCGACCGGGAGGGGTTGGGCGAGGATCGCGGAGAAAGAGAGGGAGGAGGTAAGGGGAGAGAGAGGAAGGGGAGAGAGGTAGGCTTCAGGGCGAACCGGCACTTCAGGGGTCGCAGCGCCCAGTGGTGGGAGCAGATGGGTGCGTCTCCCACCTACCCTGCCCTGCTCACTTAGTTGGTTTTGCTCTGAGGGGTGGGGTCTGCCAGGGACTTGAGGTCGAGAAGGGGGCCTTGTGCGGGCACAGGGGGTTTGTGTGCGGTCGTGGGACCTACAGCCAGGAGCCACCTGGGCGTCCGGGCGCCGGCCCTGGATGGGCAGGAGTGCCAGGGCCTGAGCTGCAGCCTGCAGTGCCTGGGGCAGCGCCTTGGTAACGCCCAAGGTGCCACTGTTCTGGCTGTCGCCGGGACTCGCTGTCACCAACTTCGCTGCTTATTTCTCCCTGGTGGGTAGCTTGCCAGGCATGGTGAGGTGCCAGAAGTGTGTGTGTGGTGAGGGCAGTGCCAACTAAAGAGTGGGTGGGCTGGAGGGCACCCTGGTCCCAGCCCTTGGGCGCCCAGGCTCCCCGTCGTTTCTCAAGTTCTGGCAGTATGCATTGCCTGGGCGTTTGCCCTGGTCGATGGGTGGTATGCCAATCACAGCACAACTCTAGGGTCTGCCCAGTTCTGCCCTGCTGAGTTGGCAGGCCGGTGGCTGGCTGCCTGGCACAGACGCAGCGTGGGTCGGTGAGAAGAGAGAGTGGGCGCTGTTACAGCGGGATGTGGTGGGGGTGAGGAAGTTGTTGGAGCTGATCTGCCCTTGGGAAGGTGAGAGCCCAGAGCCCACACGTGGGAAATCGTGCGGCACTGGGGCTTTGCAGTTCAGCCAGGCAGTGTACCTGGAAGGGATGATGGATAGAAGAGATTAAGGTAGATGGGAGGGTATTTCTGTTAGGGAAATACATTCTCTCCCAGAATGGAGTTTCGGAATGAGCACACAGACAGAAGATGACTTCAGACACAACCCTTATGACAGTTAACTGAGACCCCTGCCAGGTAGCATATGACAATCTCTGTTCATGGCCTTGTCCCCTGACTGAGCTCTCACCCCACGCTCGTGTCCAGGCAAGCATGTGTCATACACGTGACACCTTTTTAAAGGGACTCGCACTCCCAGGAGCATCGCCAAGCTTCGTGTATCCAGGGAGAGGTCTGAAAGCTGTACTGGATTCTTCTGTTGTCTGTGGCTGGAGCCACGCTGCAGCTAGTGGATTTGTCCCCGAGGTTTCACTTAGTCTAACGGGTTGGTTAGATAGTCTCTTTGCTATGTAAGTTAGATGTGGAGGTGAGCTTGGTGCTTGGAAAGGCAAGATCATGACCTTGAAGTTGTTTGGGTCATTCGGTGTCAGAGTCGGCTACAGATTTATTATTCTGTTGGATTCCTCACGTGGTAATTGTTGGCAGCAGAGCTTGCCACAGTGAAAACAGAACAAAAACCTGGACTTTGAGGAGACCCGCAGACTAGTGTGAAGTGCTGTGGAACACCCCTGAGGCTGTGTATATGGGAGCCCCTGAGTCTGTAGGCACAGTATTGACTGAGCCTGTAGACACAGTATTGACTGAGCCTCTCTGGGGCATCCATCCTAGTGTTTACTGTCCTCGGGAGCAACATTGTTACCTGGACATTCACAAGGGGCCCAGGTGGGGTTGCTCCTGACAGTTTGGGAGCTGAAATCAGTCCCTTGGATGCAGTCAGAATGTTTGGGGAGCAGCAGGCCATGGCCTCCTATCTGTGCCTGTTAGCAGAGATGGCATTGCGGCTAGGAGCTGAGACATCAGTCCATTCCCAGGCACCTGACTTGACTCTGAAATAATATTGAAGAGGGCAGAGCCACGCAGCCTCTACAAGGCTGCAGGGTCTGCAGTTTGCACCTCCCTGGAGTGGAGAACCTCCTATGGAGCCAGGTGCACTGGGGTGGGAGTGGAGTGTGGGAAGGGGCTCCAGGCCACTCCTGCAAGGGGGAGGAACCTGGTAGGGAAGCAGCCCCACTAGCCACTCTCCCCTCCTCCCCACCCCTGACACCAAGTATCTTCTCCTGCTGAAGCATTTGAAAAGCCAGGGCTTTCATATTTCCAATTATCCCACATCCAAAATATCAGTTTAGCATTCCAAAGGAGATTAAACAGTGTTTGTTTCCAACTGTTCAGGATCTAGAGTTTTAGCGTCTGTTCTCTTAACCGATTTCAATATTTTGATTTCCCCATCAGTGTTAACCTGCAAATTTGTGATGAGCCAGAATAAACTGTGTATATTTTTTTCCCTTGTACCTCTGTTGACTACCCTTTAATAACAGTTGCAAGACATTTTTGATAGCTTTGTTATAGGCACTTACTTGATGGGATTGTTTTCATCTAAAATGCCTGTGAAACAATCTGTGATTATAATGGGAAACTTTATTGAGTTCTTTCTGGTTTTCTTTGAGAGACTGAGCCAGGAGACACACACACCTCCCATTTGTTCCTTCACTTCCCGAATGCCTGGGATGGTCAGTGCTCGGCCAGGCTGAAGCCAGAAGCCAGGAATTCCAGCCAGGTCTGCCATGGGGCTGGCAAGGACCCAAGTGCTGATTCTCAGGTGCACATTAGCAGGAAGCCAGGCTTGGGAGTGGAGCTGAGCTGGACCCCGAGCTGTCCAGTATGGGACATGGACGTGCTACCTGGCAGCTTAACCACTCTGCCTGATACTGTCCCTGTCAGTTACTTAGTGCGCTGCACTTGACAGGAGCCGCTTTCCTATTGTAAATGGGCAGTGGAGTCAGGCTTGAATTCGCCTGAATGCCCATCCAAAAGCCACCTGTACCTCCCCTTTGAGGGAAGCCCCTATATGCTCTTGACAGTGTTATTTTAGGAAAATTAACACTGTGCCTGTTTGTTGAGTCTCATACAGAAGGACCCTGATTTAATTAGAGGTTGAGTTTTACGTAGAGCACACCTTTAAGACTGGGCTGACTGTTGCTAAGCGTCCCAGCTGTCAAGGAGAGAGGTGCTGTTCTTACAGAGTGCTCTGCAAGCTGTGACAATGCCATTGCCCCTCTCTGCACGTAGGATTAGGCGTGTCACCTGTGGAAACCCGTCCCCTTGAATGAGTTTGGCCTGGGGCAGAATGAGTCTCGCGTGGAATTGCATTTCCCGTCCTTGCTCATTCAGGTCAACCTGGGTGCCCTTGAGTCCAGTCCTACCATAGGCAGACAAGGAGCAGGAGGCATGCTCAGGGATGCCAGATCATCCTCCTCTGGTTCAGTTTTGCCATCCATCCTCCCTGCAGAGGGAGCTGTTCTCCGCAGTCCCTGCACAGGCCAGATGTTGGGACCCTTGGTGGTGTTCCGGGGGCAAGGCTGCTTTGGCGCGGAGGGCCTTGCGGAAGATCAAGCTGGAGCCAGGATGCGGCTGCGGCTTGAAGGGTGCATGGGCCTCCCTGACACCCTGCCAGGTGTTGCCTCAGCAGCATCCTGACTTTCTGTGCCCTTCCTCCCTGTGCTAGCATCATGCCAGCCTTACAGTTGCCAGTCCTTGGTGATTCAAATATTTATTGAGAGATCTAGAATGCCTTGACCTTTGCCGGCCTTCTGAAGGGCTCTTTTGTCTCACACTCTTAGCCTACACCCGGATCTGTAGACTAGCCAGGTGTCACTGGGGCAAACCTGGCTGACTGCCTACCCAGCATCTCCACTTGGATGACCCACGGTCACCTCAGCCCAGCCACTCCATCCTACCCGACCCCATCCACTCCCTTCTGTACTCTTCCTGGGTCCCCTCGCTCAGTACTTGGTGCCACCATCTCTTCCTCTCTCATACACAATAACCAGCCACATCTGCCAGCCTCCCACCCCACTTATCGTGGCTGCACTGCCACCACCTTAATTCACCTGCACCAGGCTGGTGACATCCAGCCAATCCCAATGCCCCTGGCCTCCTTCCACTCTAGTCTTGGTCCAGAACCCAAGGAATTTTTAAAATGCAAATCTGCTCCTGTCACTGTTTATGGTTAAAATCCTCTCATGACTTTTCCATTGCCTTGAAGTTGGTGGCCAGTGTCTGCCCAGCATGGATCCCAAGACACTGCCTGTCTCTCCTGAGTGGCCTGGTTCACGCCCTCATGGGGCATGCTATGCTCAGCTGTATATGTTGCATGTCCCTTCTCCCTGCAGGTCCCAGCTTCTCCCCTGCAGAGCTCTGGGGAGTTATGTGGGTACGTCTGGTTGGTGTGCATTTTTGTCCATCCTCTCTCAGGCACCAGGAAGGAAGTCCATCCAGGATACTTTGCTCCATACCCACAGCCTGGCACCACACCCGATTGAAGAGTGAGTGCCTGCTGAGTCTTCTCGGTGTGAGTGCAGGTCACATGTCTGGCCCTCAGTCTCCCGCTCTGCAAAATGGGCTAGCAATCAAGGTGACTCTCAGGAGGCTCATGCACAGCAATAAACGGTACTGGTTTCCACTTAGTGCAGGTGTGTTCTGGCCAGCAGAGCCAGTAACATGGACACAGAGAGGGTCTGAGGATGAAGCACCAACAGGAGACCAGGGATGGTGGAAGTCCGTGAAGTCTCCTTTATTGCTCCTTCTCCTCTCCTTAGATACTCTTCCCCCAACATCCTCATTTAGCAGGATATTGGATCAAATGAGTCCAATCCAATTAGTCTAGGTGTTTTTAGCCACTAGCCCAGTTCCTGTCCATCCCAAGGAGCACTAATCAACTCCTTAGCCCACAACACAGGTGTTTTACTATCTGTGACCATGCATGAGAACCAGCCTTGTTTAAGCCAAAAAGGAGCCTGCATATGTTAGGGATTAGTTTTCATCCCATGTATCCAAAGAACTGACAGATTATTCTGAGGAGCTCTGCACTATGGGAGGTAGCCACGGTCCCGAGCCAGCGAGCAGACACCCAGAGAATGGGCCTTTTGGCTCGCTTCCACCTCCTTCCCCAAGGAAGAGGGCCAGTTGATTGGGTTGTGTGCTTCCAAAAGCCTGATCAAATGTGCCTTTGTTAGCCTCTGACAAAGCTCCCACTGAGTCTGGTCCCTGTGCTTCGAATCCCTAATGGAATTAGAGGGCAGTCCGAGGACTGAGTCTCCTTTTGGTTAGAAACCGGTTCTGTTTGGTGAACTTGAAGCCTTTGTCAGTCAAGACCGCCCAGAAAGTCTTTGCTGGGGACAGACTCAGGTTCCTGCCGGGCTCAGCCAGCCTCAGCTGTGTTGCTGTCCCCGCGGTGACTTCTTACACACCGTGGTCATATTTCACAGGGCGGTCCAGATGAGAAGTGCAGCGGTCAGGCTGCCGCCACCAGCCCACTGAACCATGGAGAGGAAGAATCCAGCCCGGGATGGCCCCAGAAGACTCTCGGCCAAACTAGGCAAAGGCCCCGAGGTAAAGAAAGCTGCCCGTCCCCTCGGCATGGCGGCCACCGAGTCAGACAAGGACTCCGGATTTTCAGGTGATCACTGTTGTATCCCGTGTGTGTTGTCATGGGACTGTGTGGGTGTGTGAGAGAGAGGTAAGGATGAATAGCTCTGACCTCCAAAGGTAGGGTGCTCCTCCCGAGCGCCAGGTGCCACCTTCTCCACTTCCACTCTCAGCTTTACGTCTTAAATTCCAGCTCTGGTGAGTGCTTGTGGGAAAAACCGCAGATCTGCAGATTCATATCTCTGTTGTGGCAGATCCTTCTTAAGAACAGTGACACTGTAGGGAAGCGCATACTGTTACTGTGCGGTTGTCACCTTGTGGACGCATTTGAGAACTGCCAGTTAAGATAACCTTTGGTTTTGTTTGTTTTACTAAGAAAGCTTTTCTGTCTTTAAAGATTCCCCCTTCTCCCATGATCCCTTTCTTCTCTTCCCCCAACCCCCTTCTCTACACTTTGTGTTTGAATGTGTGCTTCCCCGCCTGATTGTAAACTTGAGAAGGTAGTAGAGAGAAAGGCCCGACACCAGCCTACTCCACCCCTTCCCTAAAGGCCCAGCCTGCACTTGCCCGGAGCCTTGAGTGTTTGGTGGCAAGACTCTTACTTCCCAGTCTGGGGTTGGTAACTGGATCCTGGTGTCTCGGGGAGCTCAGCCGAGTCAGCACCCTGAGGATGGCTGTACACACACACACACACACACACACACACACACATATACACCCATCCAGTGGAGGAAGATTGACATTTTCCAGACTCCCAGGGCTAATCCATCAATTCTGGCAACTTAGAGATTTATAGTGGGAAGCGTTAACTGCTGGGGCACTACGACTCGCCCAGCCTGAGATGACCGTATTTTCTCCTTGTAAGCATGCTGAATGAGAGGCCAAATTATAAATAGATTACAGCTCAGAGAGCCACAGGGCACTCACTGGAGATTAGAGTAAGAGACATCAGTTGTCCTGGTGCGGCCAGGCCGGTCGAGGGAGGGGCAGGCCAGTCTCCAGCATTTTGGGATTTTCCTGCTCTTGCGTGGTTTCCCAGGCTTACTTTCACATGAAGCTTACTTATGGTGGGTTTTATTTGTTTATGGTTTATTGATTTATTTGAAAGGCAGAATTACAACAGGAGAGGCAGAGATCTTCCATGTACTGGTTCACTCCCCAGATGGCCACCATGGCCACAATTGGAAGCTTGGCACCTGAAACTCCATCTGGATCCCCTCTGGGTGCTAGGACCCAAGCGCTCTGGCCATCTCCCACTGATTTCCCAGGCACATTAGCAGCGAGCTAACCCACTCTCTGATGTGGGTGTGGGTGTCGCAAGAGTCACTTTAATGTCTGTGCCAAATACCCACTGCTTTGAGGCCCTTGGTGGTCAGCAGCTGGGAACAACAGTATCCCGGTTTGCTCCAGCAGATCTCTTAATTCTGTCCATGTTGAGTGGAACTTAAATAAGTCAGCCTTATTTTCTCTGCCTTGGAGAGCACCCACCCGTTGTGCAGGGTCTCCAGCAAGTGCACCCCTGCACTGATGACAACAAAGAAGGTGCTCTTCAGGGCAAAGGGCAGTGACAGAGAAACAGCTAACTTTGAGCTGGAGAAAGTGTTGGGAACTTCCCAGCTGGGACATTCGGGAAGCAGTCATGTGCATTTCCATGGGGATGAGAGTTCTGGGCCTTACGGTTGGCCCTGTATTTTATCTGTGGTGCCCAGAGCCTGCAGAGGCGCCAGTCCTGGCACGGCTCACATAGTTCCTGGAGAACTTGGAGGCCAGGGACTCCCACAGACTGCTACAGACTTGGTGTTGATTTCTTTCTCTTGAGCTCTGATGGTGCTGGCCTTCCTGGGAGAGTTAGAAGGAAAGTGAGGCCATCCTGGGGTAATATTTTGGGGTCAGAGGGATAACTATGGATTTCTTTGTAAAGCTCATGAACGCTGAAGGCCTTTTTAGAAATTCACCAAAGCACCCATCACCAGTGATTCTTTCCACTTCCGGTGGCTCAGCAGCTCCCCAGGAGCCAGGTGAAAAACTCTGGCTTGGGTCCCCAGGCTGGGTAATTTACAAAGAAAGGGGGTTTCTCCAGCGAATGATTCTGCAAGCAGGAAGTCAAAGTGGTGAGGGGCTCATGCTGAATCCGACAGAGCCCACAGCAGGAGTGCGTGCCTGGAAGAGAGGGCATGGAGGGGGCCAAAAACCTTACAAAAGCTACCCATCTCAGGGGAGAAACAGCAGCCCATTCACGAGGGCCCCACCCCCGGCCCACGTGCCTCTCGTAGGAACCACTACCTGTCCACAGCAGGTCACCAAGAGGGGAGGCCTTGGCCTAAGCTAGGCCAGGGGCAAGGTGCACCAAGCTGCCAGCTTGGTCCTCAGAGAGCTGACTGTTGTTCTGCCCTCCAGATGGCAGCTCTGAGTGCCTGAGTTCCGCGGAGCAGATGGAGTCCGAGGACGTGCTGAGTGCCCTGGGCTGGAGCAGAGAAGACAGGCGGAAGCCCAGCTCCAGGCCTGCGAGCCATGCCTTCCCCACACTGTCCCCCATGGTCGTCATGAAAAACGTGCTGGTCAAACAGGTGAGGACACCCGCTGGGGCCTGCACTGTCTGTCAGCAGCCACCAGTACACCACACCAGTACATGCCTTTGGCCTGAGATGAGGATGGCTCCATTCAGCTACTGACCTTGTTCTGGGGGGAGGAGGGGGAGAACCAGGAGTCATCAGCAAGTGCACTCACTTTTGAAACAGTAGACTCCATTACACTATGATTGCCATGTGTCCGCAAGGACCTGGCTTATTTAAAGGACACATACTGAACCCTGTGGTGTCACTTCTGTGGAGCATTCAAGCATGGCAGTGTTTAAGGAAGACAGAGTCTCTTCTTAATTTGAGTTGTCCTAGAAACCTAGATGTGCCAGGACCTTTAATTTTATTTGAGAAGCAGAAAGATAGAGAGCTGCCGCTGGTTTACTCCCCAGATGCCTGCAATAGCTGGGGCTGGGCCGAACTGAAGCCAGGAATCAGGAGCTCACTCCAGATGTCCCAGCTGCTTGGGCCATCACCCTGGGGTGCACCAGCAGCAGGAACATGGGATTGGGAGTAGAACCAGGGCGCCAACCCAGGTACTGTGTTAGAGGATGCGGGTGTTCCAACTGGCATTTCAGCTGCCAGCCCTGACACCTGCCCATGCAGTACTCATTGCAGTGGAGGCAGCTTCCACGTCTCTTCTGTCATGTTCGGAGTGTCTCTTTGTCTTTAGGTGAAAGCCTTGTTGTTAGACAGAGGTCGTTCCGTTGAGGGGTGGCTGTGCCAACTGCATCCACACAACACCATTGCAGGGTTGAAGGATGCCCTACTTGGGCTGTGTTACACAACCGTGCATATTTTGTGATAATTGCCTAGATGGGGAAGAAGATTCAGATGAAAGCCTAATCCAGGTCCCAGTGTCAGGCAAACTTGACTGAGAATTTGAGCAGTCCGAGAGGTAAACAGGATGGATTTAAGCCAAAAAGAGAACATTGCACCCTCACTCCCACTGACACTGCATCCCATGGTACACTGATGGAGGCTACCTCAAGACTGAGGTTTGAAATCTGGCCTTGGCAGCTGATCTTCCCACCTCAGGTTGAAGTTAGAAGGCTGAGGTAGCCATAGCTTCAGGAAAGCTTCAGGCCTGCTATAGCACCTGGTTATTACCGGGAAAGACCAGTGCCTTCAGCAGGGTGGCCTGAGCTCAGCCAGAAGCTCGGCTCCACTGGCTGAAGGGAAAAGGGAACACAGACAAGAAGGTGGACTCCCTGATCCAGCAGACTGCTCACTGCCCGACCTGGACTTCCTCCTGCCGCTCTGGCTCCCTGGTGTGTCTGTGTGTTTCCCTTCTTTGTTGGAGGGGCCAGACATGCTGAGGACAGCCCACAGTGAGGGAGTCAGGAGGTTTTCCCAGCAGAACTGGTTTCTTCAGGATCCAGAACCTGGGGAAGGCCCCTGAGCTCGCTCAGGAGCGGGGCAGGGTGGGGACAGGCTGACTGATGGAGAAGTCTGGGAGGTTCGCTTTGCCTTTTGGATCATGCTTGACCCTGTATGTTCTAAAGTTTGCATAATTGGATGCTTGGAAAAGCCCCTGCAGAGTGGGTGGTACCCTGGCCATTACTGCTGTGGTCTGATTCTGATTCTGCCACTTGCGCACAAGTCACTGGCCACCATGGACTCAAGTTCCCCCATCTTCAACACACTGGCTTTGTATGGAGTGATTCTGAAGACCTGTCCAAACCTCAGATGACTTCAACATGCACAGCATTAGTGCCGTGCTAAGATCTAATCATCACCCTAAGCTTTCTGCCCATTAGGACCATGAGCGCCACCACAGCAGTAGGAAGACCCAGCCAGTAACATCAGCCTGGGGAAGCAGGGCATCAGCTGTTTGCTGGATCTGTTCACCTTGTAGAGCACCCCTTCAAGCCACAGTCCACTTTGGGGAGAACCAGAAGTTTGGCTTCTGACTGAGCCAGGGTAGGCTCATAGTGCTCCTATTTGCAAGATCCCTAGTGTGACCCCCAAAACTTTGGATCTGGGATGTGTTTTCAGGGTGAGGGAGGATGAAATGTGCTCAGGCTGAAGTCTTTCTACTCCATCCCTCAGATTTCTCTGTTCTGAGCTGGTTCTCAGCCTCACACTCTGGAGCTTAGCACAGGTTCCCCTCTAAATGTGACCATGGTCACACAGCTCAGAGGCCCACGGCCACATGGCTCCTTAGCCTGGCCTGCTTGCTTCTGTGTATCCCATAGTACACTGGACTCTGGAGAGCTCCACAGAGGACTCCTGGGGCCTCCTCACCCGTGCCCAGGAGAGGATTCAGAGTTGGCCTCCAGCTCCCAGCCACATAACCCTGAGGTGGCATTTGGCATATGGCGTGCCTGTGTGGGGGAAGAGCCACACATGCACATGGGGATGCTTCTAAGAAAGCAGGCCATCCCTTGTGACTCACGAGGGTGTGCACCTGGACAGCCTTGCTCCATCCATCCCTTTGGGTGGAGCTGAGATGGAGACCAGTAGGCACACCTTTCTTTACTGAGCTGTGTAGTAACGGAAGCGGTTGGTAGAGATTGGCTTTGGACCCAAGCCTGGATCCTGGCTGCTTCACTTGTCCATTGGGACTGGAAGTGAGTTCTCCCAAGGGTGAAGAGACATGATGAGTGCACCATGGCAGGTTGCGGGGTTTGGACCAGTCACCCTTCATGTGATGCCAACTTCTTATTAAAAAAAATTTTTGTTTTATTTGAAAGGCAGAGTTACAGAGAGGAGAGACATATTTATCCACTGGTTTACTTCCCAAATGACCACAGTGACTGGAGCTGAGCTGATCTGAAGCTAGGAGCCAGGAGCTTCTTCTGGGTCTCCCATGTGGATGCAGGGTTCCAAGGCTTTGAGCCATCCTCTGTTGCTTTGCCAGGCCACAAGCAGGGAGCTAGATGGGAAGTGAAGCAGCCAGGACACAAACAAGTACCCATATGTGATGCTGATGCTGTAGGCAGATTATCCTATTATGCCACAGTGCTGGCCCTGATACCAGTTTCTAGTAACTGCAGTCCATGGCAGCTGTGATGACTTTGAATGGGTGTTTGCTTGGTGGGTGTCCCTGCCTTAGAAACCTGTGCCCACAAACTCTTGATAATATGTGATTTTTTAAATCAGAAATTGTCACTTTGGCCACTGCTGTGGCATAGTAGGCTAGGCCTCTGATTGTAACACCAGCATCCCATACAGGTACCAGTTTGAGTCCTGGCTGCTCTACTTCCTATCCAGCTCCCTGCTTATGCCTCAGGAAAGCAGCAGAGGATGGCTCAAGTCTTTGGGTCTCTATATCCACATGGGAAACCCAGAGGAGACTCCTGAGTCCCGTCTTTGGATGGACTCAGCTTCAGCCATTGTGGCCGTTTGGAGGAGTGAACCAGTGGATGGAGAACCTCACTCTCTCTAGCTCTGCCTGTCAAATAAAATTTTCTGTTTTTAACATTTTTTATTTTTAAGGTTTTATTTTATTATTATTTGAAAGACAGATTTTTACAGATAGGGAAGGATAGATAGAGAAGGTCTTCCATTTGCTTGTTCACTCCCCAAATGGCCACAGTGACCAAACTGAGCGGATCCCAAGCCAGGAGCCAGGAGCTTCTTCTGGGTCTCTCACATGGGAACAGGGATCTAAGGACTTCAGCATTCTTTGCTTCTTTCCCAGGCCACAAGTCAGAGAACTAAATGGGAAGTAGAACCAACACTCATTTGAGATACCAGGAGCACAGGGTGGGGAATTAGCCCACTGAGCCACAGCACTGAGCCTCAAACAAAATTTTTTTGAAAAGTATTGTCAGGTAAATGAGATTCCAGGTGTAGGTCAAGGAAGCTAGACTTTGATGCAAAGTCACATCTAATCACCTTGAGATCAGCACATTTGAATTTATACCAGGAAATTGTCACATCCGTTTTTACTACCTCAACAGTGACCTTAACTTTGCCATTTCTTCACATACCTACAATTTTTTTGAAGGTTTATTTATTTATTTGAAAGAGTTATAGAGAAAGAGGGAGAGGGCAGAGTTATAGAGAGGTTTTCCATCTGCTAGTTCGTTCCCCAAATGGCTGCATGGCCAGGGGCTGGGCCAGGACAAAACCTGGACCTCTGTTCGGCTCTCCTACACAGGGACGGGCCCAAGCACTCAGCCATCCTCTACTGCTTTCCCAGGCACCCTAACAGGGAGCTGGATGCCAGCATAACAGGAAGCAGCTTCCTCCCCTGTGCCTTCACAGCAGCCCCTGTTTTTCAGAGTGACAGCACTTGAAGAAAAACAGATGGTTTCTTCATCTTTCCCTTAGGATAAGTTAAAAAAAAAAAGGCGAGTAAGTAATTTTGTGGTATCAAGCCCCTTCTGCAGGCTGTTCTTGACAAGACTGGAAGCCTGTAAGGGTCTGCCTTTGAACTTGTCCTTCCCCTCTGAATGTCTGCTCTGCCTCCGCTGGTGTAGGCTTTGCCTGTCCCTGATGAGTGTGTGTGTCTCTCCCTCTGTCCCCAGGGCAGCAGCTCATCCCAGCTCCAGTCCTGGACAGTGCAGCCCCCCTTCGAGGTCATCTCCGCACAGCCTCAGCTCCTGTTCCTTCATCCTCCCGTCCCGTCTCCCATCAGCCCATGCCACACAGGGGAGAAGAAGGCTGACTCCAGGAACTACTTGCCCATCCTGAATTCTTATACCAAAATAGCCCCCCACCCAGGCAAAAGGGGCCGCTCCCGCAGCCCAGAAGAGAAAAGAGCGCGGGCAGCACAAAAGAAAGTCCACTCCGAGAGCCTGGCCCCCAGCCTGTCTTCCAGGGAGCCAGCCAAGGCTGGCACAGCACCTGCCAGCCCCCTGGCTCCGGCTCCACCCAGCACCAGGCTGGACGAGGACTCTGCTCCACAGGGGGTACCCTCCCTGGTGGCAGGTGGAAGTCCACAGACTCTGCAGCCCATTTCCAGCACCCATGTGGCTAAGGCTCCCAGCCTGACCTTTGCCTCCCCCGCCAGCCCAGTCTGCGCCTCTGACAGCACCCTCCATGGGCTGGAAAGCAGCTCCCCGCTGTCCCCGCTGTCTGCCCACTACAGCTCACCGCTGTGGGCAGCGGAGCAGCTATGCCGCAGCCCCGAGGTCTTCCCAGAGCAGCGGCAGAGCAGACACCGGCGCTTCCACAACACGCTGGTGGTCCTGCACAGGTCTGGCCTGCTAGAGATCACCCTGAAGACCAAGGAGCTAATCCGGCAGAACCAGGCCACGCAGGTGGAACTAGACCAGCTGAAGGAGCAAGCCCAGCTGCTGGTAGAGGCTGCCAAGAGCAGGGCTCCCGAGGCGTGGGCCAAGCTGCAGGCTTCCCTGATGTCTGGGCCTACCCACGCCGGCGGCGACCCAGATGTGTTCTCTGACCATCCAGACATATAGCATGGCCGACCAACTTTGCTGGAGTGGTTCTGTCACCCTCCAACTGGTACCTCCTTCTGCTGCCCAAAGCTTACATAAGCCTGTCTGAACTGAAACTGTCTTGCAGTTCACTCTCGAAGCCACGTGCCCATCCCAGGCCGCTGTCCTCACCTGTTGTCTCCACACAGGTGGCAGACATCTTTGTTCTGCCAGGAACACCACTTACTCACGGTGCCCTTGGCTTCCAGGCGCTTAGCTGGGTCACAGGGTAAGCAGGAGAGATGACTGGGAGTGAGGGCTCTTCTGGTTATCGCCTCCCGGCGTCCCTCCCCATCACTCATGGGGCTTGAGGACAGACATGTGGAATGGGCCCTCCCCTTCAGTGTCTTAGTCACAGAGAACATTAAGAAACAGGGTGTTTGCATTCCACTAGGCACTGCGCCAGCTGGGTAAACCCTAAGATGCCCTGGGCACAGGACACACCTGGGTACAAGCACTTAATCACTAAGGCTTTGTTTTTGTCAACGTGAATGTCAAGGGAGAAAGGGTAATACTATCTAACTCAGACACTTTAATCTCAAGCAGATTCTACTTCAACCTGTATAAGCAAAATAGCTCAGATTTGTAAGACAGGAAATGGGCCCAGGACCATCAGGAAATTGGAGTTGATTAATTCTTCTTTTCTTTTTTTAAACTTAGAGACATGGCCAGCATCTCTTGGTCAAAAGGGGCTGGAAGATTCTGGTAACGTTAGGTCTTTCTTCTGTCTGCTTAGGTAACAGCACAGCCTCCTTTAGGTCTCAAGCTTAAGAGAGCCATTGGTCCCTGAGGATTGTGTAAGTTAACCTGTTGCCTCCCAGGATTTTGTTTATTTCCCCATTTGTTTTTAATGAAAGGAGTGATCATGATGCCTGAAAAACTTGGAATGAAATAAACTTCTGAGGTTACAATAAGAGCACAAGGACTTGGGAGCAGTTCTTCCTGCCTGTTGCCTCTTCCCATCTTCAGTGTTTCGTTCCGCATGTCGCAGCAATGGGGAGTGACGCTGTGGAGTGAGGGTTGCACGTTGGAGTGCAGCCGCAAAGCCAGATATGTGTGTTGGATATGAGAGAGTCATCCTAAAATGGTAAATGTGGGGAGGACATTTCTAAGGGCACTTCTGCTTTCAGCTTTGTCAGACTGGGAACTGAGTTTCAAAGTTAGTAACGTTTCGAGTTTTTAATCCTCACATATAAACTTTTTTTTAAAAAGATTCTATTTTTTATTGGAAAAGCATACTGATACAGAGAGATCTTCCATCTGCTGGTTCACCCCCCGCATTGCCACAATGGCCAGAGATGAGCCGAATGAGGAGCTACTTCCATGTTTCCCATGCGGGTACAGGGTCCTAAGGCTTTCAGCCATCCTCGACTGCTTTCCCAGGCCACAAGCAGGGAGCTGGATGGGAAGTGGAACAGCTGGGACATGAACCAGAGTCTGTATGGGATCCTTGTGCTTGCAAGGGGAGGATTAGCCAATTGAGCCCTCGTGTCGGGCCTGCATATAAACATTTTTCACTATCTTGAAAATCTTTGTTCTCCACAAATCATACTTGGAACTTCTGTTTGATCAGCTTCATCTCTCTGCAAGAAAAGTGTTCTTAAAGTTTCACCCAAACCAGGAACCACCAGTCATGTTCTAACATAACATCAAATTCTAAAATAATTTGCCCAGATTTTGTTTGCAAGCAGGTACAGCTTAAATATGCCCTCTTTAGAAATTAAATGGTTCCATACAAACCTCCCAGCTTCCCCTGTTCAGTACAGAATTAGTCCCCCTTTACCTTCTGGGCAAATTGCAAAAACAAGAACAGGCACATCTGAGAAGACTTCTTAGTGCTGAAGTCTCTCCGGGCTGTGAAGCTGGACGCCCTGCCCCAAGAGGAGCTGTGACACAGGGAAGCCAGGTCTTGGAAGGACAGACCCGTCAAAGCCAGAAGCCTGGCCAGCCAGTGCAAGAACCCCAGAGTCAACCAGCAAGATCCTTGCTGCGCACAGACTGGAGGACATAGCAGTGCTTGATGTCATTGGGGAGGACAGGCTGTGGCAGAGCTATGGTTTTCTAAAAGGGAGAAACCAGTCTGAGTCCAGACCAGCCCTTAGGAGAACTTTGGGTAGATTGTGTAGGCAAATAATGAAACACACCCAGAAAAAGTCGCTGCTGAAATCAGTTCTGGGAATGGCGTTGAATGCTAGTTCTAATTTGTTACACTCTCCTTGCTTTGAACTGATCAGTATTCTCCCGCGTTTCTTCTCTAAGTGGTTTTCCAGCTTTGAGTTCAAGTGGACATTTATCTAGCAAATGTGAATTCTTTTGAGAAAGTATGAAGTTCAGTAGACACTGACTGTGAAATGTCAGAAATAAAAATCACTTCCTTGAAAATTATTTGGCTTTTCCACTTTGCAACTACTTCAAAAAGACTCAATTTAGGCAGACACCTGGGTGGATAGAAGTCTGGAACGTAGGTCGCATGTGCTCTGGGAACGCTGGAAGGAGACCCCCAGCGCACAGCCTTGTGCTGGTCAGACTCACACTGGTGTATGCCTGGGAGGATGTGCAAGTGCACTCAAGGCAAATGAGTGGTCCAGTGTCTGCTCGAGTTGCTAAGCAGGCTGGGAGGAGAGAGAGAACACAGCCTGGCATCCCTTCCTATCATCGACATCCACCTCATCAACTAAAATCACAGCCAGAGGGATCCTTAGCAAGCGCACGTCCCAGCCTTCCCACACCTCCCCAAGCCCTGCATCTCGGCAGGGCTCCTAGAACATCTGGATGGGGAGGCACAACACCCTCACTGCTTCACATCCCAGAGCTGGGGAGAGTCGGCCTGTCAGACACAGACCTAGGGGACCACCCCCAGCTGATACATCCAGCCATCAAAGTGACTTCTAAACAGAGGACCGGGGGACCACTGGTATGAAATACAGACAAGCAGGGCCAGCTGGGGCAGAAGGATGGAGAGCCATCCTTTTCTCCCAAGGAAGCAGGGCCAGCCTCCCAGGACTCCCAGATGTGCAAACAGCTGCCCCTCCAGGAACGCCTGTTTGTGAGTGTGTCTGTCCAGTTTGCGTCTCTGAGGGCCTCCCCGCCCTCCCAGCCTGGCAGGTTCACGTGTTGGAACAGACTGTCATGGATAGGTGATACCAAGGAAGTCAGCAGCAGAAGAAAGTTGAGCTTGCTCTCACTAAGTTCCCCCCAGCACCCTCTTCTTGCGAGAGCCTGAGCCATGTGGCAGGAGGTACAGAGCATGTGTTGATTGAATTCAGAAAAGGAAAGCCTTGGAGTGCTGAGAGGAGAGAGTGCTAGTACCGTGGCGGGAGGGCTTCCTACAAGTGATTTCCCTCAGATGACCTGCTTTCAGCTAGTGTGGATTCAGAGTCCCCACATTAAACAAAAAACCTCTCCAGACAGTGCTCAGCCCACAGGAATAATTGAAGCTAAAGCAAGCTGCGGCGTTTGCCCGCCAGCCATCTGCCAACAGTCCTTCCCTTGGATCTGGGATGAGAGGTTGGTCTGCTTCCCATGTTGCCGAGTTGCCATTGGCTTTCTCTGCTCAGGCAGGAGAGCCTTTTGCATGTGTCACCAGGGCTCAGGTGCACTTCTCGCTATTAAGGTAGATTTACTCTCATGACTTTCCCTGTGGTCGGAGCATGCTTGGTGAAGTCTGAGTTCCGGTCCTAGCCTTCCAGTGTTCTCCTCCGTATGCACGCCCGAAAGAGTAGAGCAAAGAGTGGAGCGATGAGAAGGGGTGTGGCTGTCTGAAGGGCCAAAGCGAGGCAGCCCGAAGCAGAGATGTGCCTGGCTCAAGTGGCCTTTGTCACCTGCACCTTTATCCAAGGACGAGGGAAGGACAGCGGCCCCTACTGACACGACGCTAGTCAAATGGCTCTCCAGGTTCCCCCTTCTCCCTACCCATGACAGCACTTGGGGGTGCCATCCAGCCCGGGAGAGGTGTCCCTAACTTGCAGAAAAAGGACCACCTTCCACCCAGATTGCAGTGAACTGTCGCACCAGCATGGTCTTCCAACCGGCTTCTTGGGAAAGGGCCAGTGTGGGCCCTCCTCCTTCAGCACGTGGCTCCCCCACCCCCACCCCTGCTCCTTCTGCACGATGCTTATGCAAGACATGGGAGGCAGACTCGCTTGAAAGCGCCGTTCTCAGAATGATTGCTACCTCCTCCTCAGCTGCAGGAGGTGAGGGGGGAGGCGAGACAAACCCGCGGAGTTTGCGAAGTTAACCCAGAGAGTGAGTGGGTGGAAGCTGTTAAGAAACAAAGGGGGATGAAAGTCGCAGACAGGAACCCTGGGAGACCAGCCCAGCCCAGCCCAGGAGGCCCCCCGCCAGGCAGAACTACAAATGCCCCCCACCGCTGCCAACCCTGCTAGACTTCCAGTGGCCCCTGTGCGCTGTGCCGAGCATCTTTGTCGCAGGGAGAGGGAGCTAGGCCCTGGTCCCCTGGCAACAGCCCACGACCCTTTGCCCTATGGGTGGATAGATGGGAGTCCTGCGCCCGAGCTTGCCCTTCGCCTGGAGCCGGAAATGAAAAACCAGAAGACCTGCACGGTCTGGTAAACCAGTCAGATTTCCAATCCCCACAGGGCGGAGGGCGCGCCCTCTGCAGGCGAGTGGGAGGAGCAGGCCAGGGGTGCCGGGGGTGTAGGGACATAGCTCCGCCTGCCTCTTAGAACCTCAGGGAGTACACTGGGGAGGCCACTATTTTCCTTCCTGGCACGGCCCTGGCTTTAGACAGGCAGGGAATATTCGAGGAAAGCCTCTGCCGGCACCTGCTGGTCTCCAAGAGCCTCTAATCTAAAATAATCGGCATACCAGAGCACCCCAAAGCCTTGTAGAAGTCCCACCCACGCACAGCAGCACACCCTCAGCAGGCCTGCAGCATGCGGAACCCACGCAGGGAAGCCCAGCCCAGGGAGGCTCTGGAATCTAATTCTGATTCCTCACTCACTCCCCCTGCAAGGCAAGGGTTTGGGCGCCTCCTTGCTTGTCTGGGAGCCGCTCAGGAAATGCAAATGAGCATTCCCTTGAACAAAACACAGGGAAGAGGGAGGCAACTGAAGTGTGGCTGCAAGCAGCCCAGGAGGCCCATAGCTGGACCAACAGTGCAGGTCCCACCAGCTTAGGCCTGCGAGTCTTCCCCATAGGACCCCTAGGCTCCAGCAGGTTGGATGACCCAGGGTATCAGGACAACTTGAAGGGCAAAAACTTCTTGTTTAAAGATTTTATTTATTTCTATTGGAAAGGCAGAGTTAAAGAGAGAGAAGGAGAGACATAGAGAAAAATCTTCCATCTGCTGGTTCACTTCCCAAGTGGCCACAATGGCTAGAGCTGAACCGATCCAAAGTCAGGAGCCAGGAGCTGCTTTCAGATCTCCCGTGCAGGTGCAGGGTCCCAAGGCTTTGGGTCATCCTCGACTGCTTTCCCAGGCCACAAGCAGGGAGCTGGATGGGAAGTGGAGCAGCTGGGACATGAACCAGTGCCCATATGGAATCCCTGTGCTTGGGAGGAGAGGACTAGCTTATTGAGCTATCATGCCAGGCCAGAGTTCAGATCTTGATGGGGTCTCTGACAGTCCTGTATGGGTCATGCTGTCAGGGCTTTCTCTCCTGGTTCGTTAGGTCTACTTCCCATCAACTCTAGGGGCCCACTGGGCCTCATGCATAGTGTCCAGGTCAGTGCCACGTGTGGTGGGAACCTAACAGGAACCCCAAAATTATGCTTGTTCTTGGTCAGCCAGGCCACTGGAGGGACTGGGCTGGGGGGGCCGGCTAAGCGGGTCTCATTCTCAGGCCAGCTCCTGCCTTGTCCTCACAGTCAGCCCTGCTTCTCTGCCTGCCCTGCCAACCCTGCTGCCTCCAAGGGCTGAACCCCACAGGACACCTGCCGAGCTCATTCTGCCTC